GGGTCATGAGTTCAAGCCCCATGCCCAGCATGGAGTCCACTTAAAAAAAAAAAAAAAAAAAAGACTTTCAAACAGGTTGCTACCAATTTACACTCTTACTGTTTCCTAAACCTTTGCCAAATGCATATTTCATAGTCTCTATCTCTGTATCTCTATAAATCACTGCCAGTTTCCTAGATGAAAAATTACATGTCTTGTGAATTATAAAAGTTCCCATGAGAGTATATCAGTTGACTATTGCTAGAATCATGCTCTGTGACAGCCAGCCACAAAGTCTCTGTGGCATATAAGACTTTGTTTCATATTCATGCATCTGTGGGGTGGCTGGGCGTCAGCCAATAGGCTTTGCTTTGTCTGGCCTCAGGATGGGCTCAGGTCTGTTCGCTGGGTCTTTAATTCTCCTGGGACCAACGGACAACCTGGGCACATTCTTCTGCTCACAATGGCAGAAACACACGAGAAAAAGCCTCTGCTCACATTACAGCCACAAGAGTTTCATTGGCCAGGGGCACCTGGGTGGCTCAGTTGGTTAAACAACTGCCTTCAGCTCAGGTCATGATCCTGGAGTCCCAGGATTGAGTCCCGCATCAGGCTCCCTGCTCAGCAGGGAGTCTGCTTCTCCCTCTGACCCTCCACCCTCTCATGTGCTCTCTCTCTCTCGTTCTCTCTCTCTCAAATAAATAAATAAAATCTTTAAAAAAATTTTTTTTAAATTAAAAAAAAAAAGAGTTTCATTGGCCAAAGCAAGCCACCTGCCTAGCTCAATGTCCAGAGCCAGTAATTCAACCACAACTGTTAAACTGAAAACAATTCCACATGCTTATTAGCAGTATTTCTTTCTTTGGAGTAGTGCCTTCTTGGGAGTGCCTTAGACCAGTGGGCAGGTTTAGATAGGATGGTCAAAGAAGGCAAAAGTACTGGAGGCAACAATGAGCTTGTTACATTAGGAGACTGCATAGGGGCAAGTGTGAGCCAAGCAAGGAAGCAGGGGAGGTAGGAGGGTGCCAGCCATCCAGGTCACAGTGATGTGCTCTCATTTAAAATGTAGGGAGAAGGCGCCTGGGTGGCTCAGATGGTTAAGCATCTGCCTTCGGCTCAGGTCATGATCCCAGGGTCCTGGGATTGAGTCCCGCATCAGGCTCCCTGCTAGGCAGGGAGCCTGCTTCTCCCTCTGCCTCTGCCTCTCTCTCTCTCTCTGACTCTCATGAATAAATAAATAAAACATTTAAAAAATAAATAAATATCTCAGAGTCCATATTTAGAGGGGAGGGGGGATTGGTTAGCCCGGTGATGGGTATTAAGGAGGGCAAGTACTGCATGGGGCACTGGGTGTTACACGAAAACAATGGATTGTGGATCACCACATCAAAAACCAATGATGTATTGTATGGTGACTAACACAACATAATAAAATTTAAAAAAATAAAAGAATATATAAAATATATGACTATTTTATTAAAATAAATAAATAAATAAAATATAAAAAATAAAATGTAGGGAGAGATGGGGCATCTGGGTGGCTCAGTCATCAAGCATCTGCCTTTGGCTCACATCGTGATCCCAGGGTCCTGGGATTGAGCCCCACATCAGGCTCCCTGCTCAGAAGCCTGCTTCTCCCTCTCGCACTCCTCCTGCTTGTGTTCCCTCTCTCGCTGTCAAATAAATAAATAAAATCTTTTTTTAAAAAAGTAGAGAGAGTTGGGGCGCCTGGGTGGCTCAGTCGGTTAAGCGTCTGCCTTCAGCTCAGGTCATGATCCCAGAGTCCTGGGATCGAGCCCCGCATCGGGTTCCCTGCTCGGCGGGAAGCCTGCTTCTCCCTCTCCCACTCCCCCTGCTTGTGTTCCCTCTCTCGCTGTGTCTCTCTCTGTCAAATAAATAAATAAAATCTTTAAAAAAAAAAAAAAAGTAGAGAGAGTTGATTGGAATCCAGGGAAACAACAGGGGTATCCCTTCTTAGGCTCTTGCAGTAGTTTAGAGCAGTGGGGAGCAATGAGATTTAGACATGGACCAGATAAGAGATGGGAGAGAAAACAGCCCTGGGCCTACAGGTAAAGCTGGCTCCTTCCCTGGAAATAGGGAATGCTGATGTATGTTCATGTTTTTTGAAGCATAATCAGTAATTTTATTTTGAACATGCTCAATTTGAGAGAGTTATTAGACAGCCACATGTAGATGTATATAAGGTAGTTGGCTATTTGGGCCCTGTGTCCAGAAAAATGGACTGGAGACAGAGGTTTGGAGAGTCAGCCCACAGGATTTGAACCCACAGCCTCAATAACTTCATTTAGCAGGATGAAGAAAAGAGGAAAGATCCAAGGGCTAATCCTGTGGTGTTGCCACCATCCTTGGTGGAGAAGGTGAGGTTCAGGAGGCCCACTGAGAAAAGACCAAGGAATGTCAGCTCAAGCAAAGTGGAAAAAGAACTTCAAGGAAGAGGGAAGGTGAGATAAAGTGGAAAGCTTGGAGGTGTGACAGGGGGTTAGAAATGGGTATCACCTGTGGGGAGTCAGTTAGTTCAACTTCTCAGCCACTGAAAGTCCACCTCCCCAAGAGGCTCTTCCTTCCAGGTGGTCACGGAGGGCACCACAGCTCCACACGTCACTTCGCAGAGACAACACTCCCAGACCACACACACCCAGTCCCAGGTCTCCAGTCCTACAGGTCAGAATTGGGCCAGACTCTCCCCTCCAATCCAGTGTCTGACAACGGGAAAGAGCCTCACCCCTGAGGCGCTTTGCTCAAGACGCCCAAAACATGCTATTACTTTGACGAGGAAGAAAGGAATGACTATTGGGGAAGAAACAACTTTGGTGTCGGGGACAAGGAGTCAAGGACCAGCGAGGCCTGGGTACGAGAAGCAGAAGGAATCTGGAAAGGGGACACGGGTGAGGAGACAGGAAGGAGAGCCCAAATCTTCAGTAACCAACAAGGAGGGCTATGGGGGGCTCTGAAAGACTTGTTTTCGTGCTGTCGCAGCCCCTCAGCCGCTCACCTGCTCCTTGGGTACGTGGGAGTGTCTCCCCAGGTGAGGCCGCTTCCTCTAGGGAAAGTCCTCCTCTCTCCTACTGGCCCAGGCTGTTTGTGGTCCCCATGGCAACGCGCGGCCCTGGCCGGACTGCAGGAGGCGGTCCCAAGGGCGCTGTTGTGATGCGTGGAGAGCGGAGCCCAGGATTAGCCAGCAGGTGGGGTGTGGGCGGGGCCTGCAGAGGGGCGGAGCCTAGGAGCCACCTGGGAGCTGGCGGGGAAGCTGCGGCTGGGGGAGCTGGTCAAACGCTCAAGAAAAGCCCCATGGGGGCGCCTGGGTGGCTCGGTTGGTTGAGCGACTGCCTTCGGCTCGGGTCATGATCCTGGAGTCCCGGGATCGAGTCCCGCATCGGGCTCCCTGCTCGGCGGGGAGTCTGCTTCTCCCTCGGACCCTAACCTCTCTCATGTGCTCTCTCTCATTCTCTCTCTCAAATAAATAAATAAAATCTTTAAAAAGAAAGAAAGAAAGAAAGAAAAACCCCATGGGGGGGACTGGCAAAGATAGAAGGAGGCAGGGGCACCTAGCTGGCTCAGTTGGCAGAGGACGTGACTCTTTTTTTTTTTTTTTAAGATTTTATTTATTCACCTGACAGATAAAGACATAGCAAGAGAGGGAACACAAGCAGGGGGAGTGGGAGAGGGAGAAGCAGGCTTCCCACCGAGCGGGGCTCGATCCCAGGACCCTGAGATCATGACCTGAGCCGAAGGCAGACGCTTAACAGCTGAGCCACCCAGGCGCCCCAGACGTGACTCTTGATTTTGGGGTTGTGAGTTCAAGCCCCCACATTGGGTGTAGAAATTACTTAAAAATAAAATTTAAAAAAAAAAAGGCATATGTCCCATACCACTGGGGTGAAGAGGCTAGAGAGTAGGGACAGAGACTTCAAAACACTGTCCCCAGGGAATGCCGCTAATGCCCACGTTGCATAAAAAATAGCCTCCCCCTGGCCGCTCCTGAGCCCCCATACTCCCCAAAGGAACTTCCTCTGTAAAACCCAAGAAACGGATCCCAAAAGACAACCTAGGACAACAGACAACAATGAAGAACGTGAAGACCATGGCCCCACAGTGGAACCGTAGCCTGTGATGCACCCCAGGATGCCTGGAATGAAGCCCAAAGGGGCTCAGGCAGGATGGCAAGGCTGCCCATGAGGTGTCCTCAGGGGCTCAGAGCTGGGCCTTTACAGAGGCGCTAGTGGCCCCCTGCCTGAATACCTGAAACCTGGATCGGTTGTCAGGAGGAATTCTGAGCATATAGTTTTGGGAGCCATTTTCCCCTGGGGAGTTCTATGGGGGGACTGGGTTGTGATGGGGGGGGACATCAAGTAACTTGGCCATCAGGACAGTGCTGTAGGGTAGACAGGGCTTACCAAGGCATGGAGAAATTATTTTATTTCAGCATTTCAACAGCTAGTAGATATAATGACAGGATACACTTACTAAGCCCTCACTAAGCCTGTCACTGACCGATCTGAGCTCTCTACATAGAGTAACTCATTGCATTCTCAGCCTGGTAAGATAGGTTCTGTGATTATCACATTAGTTGGGAAGCACAGAGAAGTTAAAGGAACTTCCACATCCCACGGCCTGTGCAGAGCAAAGTATGGAGTTAGATGCAGTCTCCAGGGCTCAAATTTTTCCATATGTGACTGCCATCCTGAGCATCCCTGTGAGCTCCAAGACTCTAGCTCTTTATGCTCACCCAGTTTTCAGCCTGGCTTACAAATTTATTCTTGTCCCATTGCCTCTCTCTGGGAGATGAAGGGCAAGGCTAAGAACCACGGGAAGGAAAAGGAAAATAAATTGTACCACGATGGCAAGGAATGCTTCAGATTCCGTTTCCCTCTGATGCCAGGGCTCCTGTAGGCTGAAGCTGAGGGTGGTCCCCCAGCCTCAGGTGCCCCTGGGGAGATGGGAATCTCCCAGGGGTCAGCATGTTCTACAATTATTCTTGACTAAACAGGCAAGTGCACAGATAGGAAGCAGAGATTTATTCACACACTGAGTCAGTCAGCATGAAAACAGGTGCCCTCTGTTATTTACAAAAATTTCCACAGCTCTGCACTAGAGGACAAGGTATGGTTACTGTGGGTAGGCACCACTCAGGTTCCCTTGACAGGCCACAAATTTCCAAAATCTCTCAACTAGTGAAATCAGAGTTATTGAAAGACCTTACAAGTTATGATAATTTACTGTTTCTCTGTTAATTCATGGTGTTGAAACCAAAGTCCACTCTTCCAGAGCAGCCCCCCAAAACTGAGTAAGGCAGGAGGCTCGCTTGGCCATCTCCACTCAGCACTGCACTATTCAAAAGGCAAGTCCTTGCTCTCAACTCCCACTGGGTTGACCAAGCCTTGCTCAAGGCTGTATCATGGACTGAGTTTCCCTCTGCCCAGGCCTGCATCCTCCTGCTTTATCTTCCATAGGCGTTGCTCCCAACAAACTTCTTGCACTCCTCACTTTGACCCAGAGCATCTGAACTGACATACTCTGTCTTCAGTTGCCAACAATCAGATGTGGGGTCTTGTGAGAGGTTTTTCAATCATCAGCATGGATCTGGTGCCTCCTCTCTGCTCACCCTGTGATGTGTGGAATGGATATTAAGGATGTGGGATGATGGCAGAAAGAATAGAAAGTTAGATTGGGCGAAATTTAATGAGGTAGGCCTATTAAGCAGAGAGTACAGATTACAGGTTATTGTAGCTCCAGGGGCTAGGAAGTATTCTAACAGGTTTTTTGGCCGAATGAAAGCTGAAACCAAAAGTGGCCTACACTAAATTAAGTTGAAATGCCAGAGCTTCCTTGGTATACTGTAGAGGAAAGTATCCAAATGCTTAGGAAGATTGTAATATTAGAGTGCAATTTATGAGGCAAAACCTGGTCACCCGCCCCAGAAGGGTCCAGAAGAGCCAATTTTCACCATGACTATAAAATAAATTTGTGAGGGGCCCTCAGCATCCTTGAAAGAACAATCTGGTCACTCTTCTCTTTACTATAGGTCAAAAATGACAGTAGGAATTGCTACTCAATTGGGATCCCCAAATGCAATGGGGATAATTGGATCATGAGGTGGCAGGGGCTGAGCGATGGCCCTCAATCACCAACAGGCAAGGTGGTTATGGACAACAGAGTCAATGCAGTAATCAGAATAGTCTGACTTACAGAGACCTATGATGTTGGCTAACTGATCATGGTGTCCCATGAAGAGAAAGAGTTGAGCAGTCTACTAAACTCTTATTTGATCTGTATTAGTAGAAGAATTCTAGGTCAGGTGAACAGAAGTCTCACTTGAATCATAAAAACAGGGAGTCACAGCCTTCATTCAATTCCCAGGCTTAAGCCATTTCACAGACCCAGAACTTCTTAAATAAAGGGGAGACCAGGTCCCCTTGAGGAAGGACGCCACTAAACTGCCAAAAATTTATCTTGTTAATCTTTCTCTTAGCCTTCCCCAAAGGGACCAATAGCTACTTGCCAGGGTCACTGCTGTGTGTTGGAGAAAAAGAAGAAATTATACCTTTCGGAGATTCTTGGACACTGACTCTGAACTGATTCCTGGAAACCCACCGTTCAGAGCAGGGGCTTATGGAGCACAGGTGATCCATGGAGTTTTAGCTCCAGTTCATCTCTCAGTGGGCACAGTGGGTCCCTGATGCCACCCTGTGGTTACTTGTCCGGTTCCAGAATTGGAAAAGACATGCTCAGCAACTGACAGAATTCTCATATTGGTTCTCTGACCTGTGGAGTGAGGGCTATTATGGCAGAAAAGGCCAAATGGAAGCCACTAGAACTGCCTCTGCCTAGGAAAACAGTAATTCTTGGAAGGTTTGCAGAGATTATTGCCACCATCAGGGACTTGAAGGATTCAGGGGTGGTGACTTCCACCGCATCCCCACTCAACTCACCTATTTGGTGAGGGGACAGACTGATCTTGGAGAATAACAATAAACCTGGCTGTTTATTTTTCCCAGGAGGAGAGCTGGCCAGAGGCATGAGTCTCTGCCAATTCATGGGGTGTAGCCAGTATTTGGTTAGATGACCAGGGATTTGGAAGGAACATAATTGGAAAATTGGTGATGGTGAATTTTGGGGAAGAGGTGTATGGATAGACCTCTCTGGGCTAAGAAACATGATTTGTGTCCTGTGTGAATGTTCACCAAAGGGTGACCTCAGCAGAGGAGGATTGTAATAATCAAGTGCCTAGGATGATCCACTCCATGGTTACTACTCAGCCACCCCACTCATCACCCGATGCGCTTATCATCAGAACAAAGTGGCCCTGATCACAGGGATGGAGGTTATGCATGGGCTCAGCAACAGGGATCATTCACCAAGGCCAACCTGGCTACAGCCACTGCCTCACTTGCCAGCAGCAGAAACTAAGTCCCCAGTATGGCACTATTCCCAAGTTGATTCTGTTGGACAGCTTCCATCATGGAAATGACAGCAAGCACTTTGGTCTTATCGAAATAAAAGCTTACTCTGGATATGGACTCCCTTTTCCTGCCCACAATGTTTCTGCCAAAACTACCATCTGTGGACTTACAGAATGCCTTATCTACCATCTTGTGTTCTACACAGCACCACTTCTGGTGAAAGAACTCACTTCACAGCAAGTGGAGTGAAGAAATGGGCCTGTGCTCATGGAATCCACTGATCTTACCATGTTTCCCATCATCCTAAGGCAGTGGCTCGACATAATGGTGAAAGGGCCTTTCGAAGACTCAGTTTTGGTGCCAGGTAGGTAGAAATACCTTGAGGGACTGTCACAGTGTCCTGCAGGATGCAGAAATCAGCATCCAATATATGGTGCTATTTTCCCCATAGCCAGGATTCATAGGTCCAGGAATCAAGAAGTGGAAATGGAAGTGGCTCCACTCACTATTCTCCCTCATGATCCACTAGCAAAAATTTTTCTTCCCACCCCCACCGCCTTATGCTCCACTGATCTAGAAGTCCTAGTTCCAAAGGGAGGAATGCTTGCCCATGGAGGCACAATAATGATTCCATTGAACTAGAAGTTGAGACTGCCACCTGACCACTTCAGGCTCTTCATGCCTCTGAACCAACAAGCAAATGAAGTCATTGTGTTATGTAGGTGATTGATCCTGATTACCAAGGGCAAACTGGGCTGCTGGCCAGTGGAATGTCTGGAATACAGAAGATCCCTTAGGGAGTCTCTTATACTACCATGCCCTGTGATTAAAATCAATGGAAAACTCTAACAGCCAAGTCAGGCACGACTGCTGATGGCCCAGACCATTCAGGAATGAAGATTTGGGTCACCCTACCAGGTAAACAATCACAACCAGCTAAGGTGCTTTCTAAAGGCAAAGGGAATGCAGAATGGGTAATGAAGAAGGTCATTATAAATACCAGCTGTGATGACATGAACTCTGGTTGATACAGATATACTGTGCTTTTTAAAATAATTTACATAAATAGTACCCTACTATATTTGAGGATTACTGCTTAATGAGGCTGCTTTGTATGACACCATATCTCATCCCTGTGGCTGGGCACAGATTGACTTTAGGAAGGTAGATGGCAAATATTCAGAAGAGTGGCAGTTCCTACCCCAGGACATGTTGGTTTCCATGACTGTTGTCTCATGAGGCAGGAAATCTCACAGCCACAGGCGAGGTAAAATGTGTGGGATGCTGGACAGTTCTGGACAGTCTGGAAATCATCAACTCTTATTTTATAGAAGGAAAACAGGCTAGGGGAACACAGAGACCTGCCATGGAATAGCCTCAGCTAGACACTAAAGCTCTTGACCCTGAAGGAAGCCCCACCTTGGCAGAACCTCTACCTGCCCTATAACTTCTGCCTGGTGGTCTCCTTCCCTCCCAACTCATCAGTCCTTGGCTGGGTCTCAGAGGAGGATCTGGCTGTTCCATTGTGGCAGATGAAGGATGGCCATGAATTCTCTGGAACTTCTCCCATAGAAAGGTGAGGTCTTTGTCCTCTGCCCTTAAATTTGGGCAGGCTCTTTAGCCACTCTGACCAATAGAATACAGAGGAAATAGTACTGGGCCAGCTTTGGGCTCAGGATTTTATGTCTCTTGGAACACTCAGCTTTGGGGTTCTCAGTTGCCATGTAAGAATTCTATGCTTCTGAAGAGATCATGTTGAGAAATCCTGAAACTGTGTAAAGAACCTGCTGAGGGCACCTGGGTGGCTCAGTCGGTTAAGCGTCTGCCTTCAGCTCAGGTCATGATCCCGGGGTCCTGGGATCAAGTCCTGCATCAGGCTCCCTGCTCCGTGGGGAGCCTGCTTCTCCCTGTGCCTCTGCCTCTCTCTGTCTCTCATGAATAAACAAATAAAATATTTTTTAAAAAATAAAAAATAATAAACCATGGGTAGTGAGTTGTTTCAGAGCAGGACCACCAGCCTGCCAATACTGTGCAGTAAGCACTGAATTTGTTATTTGTACCTAGTCTTAATGAGGCCTGGGGGATGTTAAAAGTTAAGGCTGGTCACATAGCTATAATGTGCATTTGTGACCCGTTCAATATAAATATAAGACCCCCACCCTGAGCAGACTTGGGCTTCCAATACTGAGGGGCTTCACATACACAGTACACAAGTGGTTTGAGACCGGAAATCAAAGTGTATCCTGGGTAACTGAGTGGTAGAAGTTCAAAGAAGCCTCCACCTGAGATCTTCAGACACCTGCAGTGCATATCCTCCTTCTGCTGGGACTGCAATACCTGTAATAAAATATGAGTATAAACTATGGGTCCTGTAGCTCATTTCAACAATCGAACACTGAAGATAATTACATGTAATTAGCACAAACTTTTGGAAGAAAACAAAAGAGAAAATCTTAGTGACCTGTGGTTTGGCAAAGACTGCTTAAATAAAACACAAACAGTATCATTCATAACAAAACAAAAACCAGTAGAGTTCATCAAAATTAAAACTTTTGTTCTTCAAAAGACACAAGACACTGCTATGAAAATGGAAAGGGAAGCTATAAACTTGGAGAAAATATTTGCAAAATATATATCTGACAAAGGACTTGAATCTGGAGTATATAAAGAACTCTTATAAGTCAATGAGAAGACAACCAACCAATATTAAAAAAAAAAAAAATCAGTGAATGAGCAAAAGACATGAACATACATTTCACCAAAGAAGATATACGTTGGCAAATAAGCTCATGAAGGGATGTAAACATCATTAACCATTATCCAAATGCAATTAAAACCACAATCAGATATCACTACATACCTATCAGAATGATGAAAATAAAAAATAGTGACAACACCAAATGCTGGCAAGGATACAGAGAAACTAGATCATGCATACATTGCTGGTGGGAATGTAAAATGGTACAGCCATTCTGGGAAATAATTTGGTAGTTTCCTATAAAACTAAATATACATTCACCATACAACCCAGCAATCACATTCATGGACATCTGTCACAGAGAAATGAAAGCTTATGTTTACACCAAAATCTGATCACAAATGTTCATAGCAGCATTATTCCCAATTGCTAAAAACTGGAAAAAAAAAATGTCCTTCAGTGGCTGAGTGGTTAAACAAACTGTGGTATATCTGGGGCGCCTGGGTGGCTCAGATGGTTAAGCGTCTGCCTTCGGCTCAGGTCATGATCCCAGGGTCCTGGGATCGAGCCCCGCGTCGGGCTCCTGGCTCAGCGGGGAGCCTGCTTCTCCCTCTCCCTCTGCCTCTCTCCCTGTTCATGCTCTCTCTCTCTCTGTATCTCTGTGTCTCAAATGAATAAATAAAATCTTTAAAAAAAAAACAAAACTGTGGTATATCCACACCAGGAAATAACAATAAAATGGAACAGCGTCCTGATACGTTCAACAGCTTGGGCGCATCTCAAGTGAATTGTGTTGAGTGAGAAAAGTAACACTGATCCAATCTCAAAAGGCAACATACTGTATGATTCCATTTACGTAACATTTTTGAAATGACAAAATGGTAGAGATGGAAATCAGATTAGTGGCTGCTGGGGGTGAGGAGGAAAGGAGAGGGAGAGAGGGGGGTGGAAGTCAATAAAGGACAGCCTGAGGGAGTCTTGAGGTGATATAGTTGTTCTGTGTCTTGAGTGTAGGGCTAGTTACATGAATCTCCACCTGTGATAAAACTGCACAGAACTATTCATATTCACACTCACACACACACACACACACACACATGAGTGCAGGTAACACTAGTGAAATCTGAGTAAGCACTGCCAATTTCCTGATTTTATATCATACTGTAGTTAGGGAAGAGGTTACCTTCAGGGAAAACTGGGTGAAGGGTACATGACACCTCCTTGAATATTTTTCTGCAACTTCTCATGGACCTATAATTACTGCAAAATAAAAATGTTTTAATTTTTGTTATTTTTTAAAATGCTTCCCCACCCTGCTCCTCTCCATCACTGTCCTTCTATCGCTAAGGCCAACACCAAGAATAAAACTACAACTGCTCAATGTTTATGTAACACTCAAACAAAACCATTCCCCGCCCCTGCCCCCACCATCTCAGCGTAGTGACACAGCCAAAAGTAACACTGACCCAAATCCAAAAGCTTTGAGCAGACACGAAGAGCTTAGGCTTTTCTGGAGGCGACGGTGAGGGGAGGATCCTCACAGCAGATCCCCCACCTCCACTCCTCCTCTCCCCCATTGCTGCCCCTCTCCCTCTTAGCTCCCAGCCTTCTCCTCCTCTCCTCCCTCTCCCCTCCAACAGGATTCTTCTATTCCCCCTGCCCCAACCCTCCCAGGTCTGTTCCAAATAGATCATTCTAGACCCATGCCCCTTCTTCTCATCTCTGCCCTTAATGAACCACAAATACACCAACACCTCCTCAGAAGGCAGGGGAAGGGGAAGGTTGTGAGCACTTACTTGCACAATATTTTGTTCCCTAAAAAAAAAAAAAAAAAAAAGGGTAAAAAATATGAGTAATCACTTCAGCAAAGAAGATACGCCAATGACAAATAAGCACATGAAAAGATGTCCAACATCATTGGTCATTAAGGAAGAGTACATTAAAACCACAGAGCGATACTACTACACACCCCCTAGGATGGCTACGATCAATGATGGACCCTACCAGTGTTGGCAAGGATGTGGAGAGACTGGAACTTTCCACACTGCTGGTGGAATGTAAAAGGGTGCAACTACTTTGGAGAAAGGTTTAGCGGGTTTTTATAAATTTAAACATACAAATTTCATCCAACTCTGTTGTTCTACTCCTAGCTATTTACTCAAGGTTAATGAAAATACATGCCCACACAAAGATTTATTAATGTTCATAGGAGCTTTACTTGTAATAGCCAAAAATGAGAAACAACCTAAAATGTCCATCAGTTTGAGAACAGATGAAGTATGGCACATCCACAAAATGAAACACTACCTGGCAATAAAGAGTGAACTACTGACACAGTAACATGGACGAATCTCAGTCTTCCATAATCGTCCATAATCTTCCCATTATGCTGATGGGAAGAAGCCAGACGAACGAGTATATACTGTATGATTTTATCTAGATAAAATTCTAGAAAATGCAAACTAATCTATAGTGGCGGAAAGCCAACCAGTATTTGCCTGGGGAGAGGGCAGGGGGAGGGGGCTTCAGAAAGAGATGCCGCCCCTTGGGGCCAAGCGCTCTTTGGCAGGGGTGGGGCTGCCAGCAGTCTGAGACCTGGTGTCAGAAGGAACTTCCCAGTTCCTCACCAACACAGCTCAGCCTTGCAGGGGGCAGCGGGCAGGCTCAGCACCCACAGCCTGATGGGGCTACATTTCTGACCTTGAGTGTGGACACACGCACCTCTGAAGTACCATCAATGACTGATGCACTGAGAGCAGAAGTAGGCAGAGCAGGGGCTGGAGGGAGTGCAGACAACCTCCCACGGGGGCGCTGGGAGGGCCGAGCTGGGCTGGGCTGGGGTAACGCCCTCCCCCTTGATGCTCCCCAGCCCCAACACCCCACACTAACAGCGCCCTGGAGAAACAAGAGCTGTTGTACCAGCCTGGACTAGATGATTATTTACTGGTTCCCCATTAACCCTCTTCTCAGTTCTGTCAGCCCACCTTAGCTTGAATTATTTCTTTATATTGAACAGGCTGGATGTGGACTGGGGAGTGGGCCCGGGCGGTAGGGGTCTCGGGTTGGTTCTTCTCTCATTTTTTCAGGTAGGGTGAGCAGCACCTGAAGTCCTGGCCTGGATGCTGGGGGCCTGATGTCAAGCCTCTGCCTCCTGAATGTCAGACCTTCAGTCTCACCTTAGGATACCGCGCCATAAACCGCAGGAAGATCCCTTGTGCTCCGAGAGGCTCCCAGACTTCTGCTCGCTCGCGGCACTCTGTCTCTGCTATTCATTTCGTAAATTACAATTTTGGGGCCGCCTGGGTGGCTCAGTCGGTTAAGCATCTGCCTTCGGCTAAGGTCATGAGCCCAGGGACCTGGGATCCAGCCCCGCATCAGGGAGCCTGCTTCTCCCTCTGCCTGCTCCCCCTGCTTGTGTTCTCGTGCTCTCTCTCAAATAAATAAATAAAATCTTAAAAAAAACAAATAAATAAATTATAATTTTGTTTTTCAAATACACGGAAACCAATGTGATAAGCCCAGATTTCCTAGATGTTCCCAGGTCTCCGAAGCAGGACATCTTGCTGGGGGCCCTGCGGTTGATCCATCAACTCTTCTAGCCGCAAAGAGCAGGCGGCCCATGGGTGCTTCCTTGCCTCCGCAGCCCTAACAGGAGTCCTGGCCACCGCAGCCTCCCAGCCTCAGGCTCTGGCTCATGGCAGGTAAAGTTTGCCCACTAAGCCCCTGGACTCAGCATCAAGTCAGGAACAGGAAATCAGCCTCTGAATCTTTATTCCTGGCCAAACTTCTCTCTGGTGACAGGCTCACAACCGGTGTCCCAGATGGGCGTGGCCTTTGCGCAGTGAGCACCGCCCGTGTTCTCTCTGGAAGCCTCCCCCCAGCTTGCTGATGGAGCAGTCCACCCCACTGCCCACTGTACATGGGCCCCTTGTCTTCCGCTGCTCTAGTGATCAGGCACTGAGCGGACATTTGTGAACATGCGGCTGCTGGGCCCCAGGCTGCAGGACGGCCAGGCTCCTCCACCAGGGGTTCACAGGTTTGGGTGAGGGGCACAGAGGAAGCCAGCCAGCTGCAGCGGGAGGTGGAGTGGCAGAGTTTGGAGAAGGGTGTGACAAAAGTCAGGGGAGCGGGAGGAGGTAAGCTTAAAAACAATAGAAGTCAGAAGGCTTTCCTGGGAAGGGGAAATTGAAGAAACAGAATTTCTGGAAAGGGTCGGGGAAGGGAATGAGCATAGCCAAAGTCCTTCCTCGTGGTCCTTGTGCTGCCCCACAGTCGGACAGCAAGGCAGGCCTTGCTCTGAAGTCGTGCTTGGCCACTTGCCTCTCCTTGGGGCCTGGGGTGCTCAGGGCTGCAGAGGTTCACTCTTCGTTGGCAAATTGAAAACATAAGAGCAGGAACTGGGGCGGGAAGGGAAAAGTGGGGTCACTCAAGCCGTCGGTTATCTAGGTCACCCAGGGATTTGTAAGAGGGGAACTTCCTGGGTGGTGCCGGCCTGTGTAGCTCGGAGCTGTGTCCTATAGCTGGCAGTCTGTTTATCTAGATGAATGCCTTTGAAATGGATGCCTACGCTCTCAAAAGCTTACCGTCAGGCACTTGGTTCACAGACAACCATGCAGAGCACAAAGCTTCCTTCAGCGGCTGGCCCCACTTGCCCGCTATGAGGCCAGGCTACCTGGGGCTTACCCCTGTGGCCCTCCCTCCGCAGGGGCTGCCCTTGGGCTCCAAGACGGTCTGTGGCCTTTCTAACCTGCCCTGGGACCCCTTCCCCAGGAAGGAAGGAAGGAAGGAAGGACTCTTCCCAAAGAAAAGGACAAGGCAGTGAAAAGTGCGACGTACAGTAAGCTTCGAAAGGTGGGTTGTTAGCAGACTCGGTGGGGAATCCGTGCAGCATCAGTGAGCCACGTGTAGCCTCCTGGCCTACCAAGCTGCTGCCCTCGTCGGCTGCACATCCAAGATTCCATCCGTGCTTGAGGAGAGCGGGAAAGACTGGGACTTTTGGTAAAAACTGTGGAACAAAATGGGGACACACATCCATAAGTGCTAAATAAAGACATGTGATATAGGAAAACAGCTCCTCCTTACCAATGTTGGGGGGGGGTGCCCAAGGGCAGAACCAAGCCGAGGGCCTTTCCCTGAGGGTCTCTGTGAAGAAACACCACTCACAGAATTCCACTTCCAGGATGGCTGCGTGAGGAGCTCCACAGACCCACTCCCTAGGGAAACAAGCAAAGCCGGTAAAAATTATTTTTTAAAAACTACACCATTTAGGGAGGGCGCCTGGGTGGCTCAGTTGGTTGAGCGACTGCCTTCGGCTCAGGTCATGATCCTGGAGTCCCGGGATCGAGTCCCACATCGGGCTCCCTGCTCGGCAGGGAGTCTGCTTCTCCCTCTGACACTCCTCCCTCTCATGCTCTGTCTCTCATTCTCTCTGTCTCAAATAAATAAATAAAATCTTTAAAAAAAAAATTAAAAAAAAAAAAAATAAAAACTACACCATTTAGGGACACCTGGGTGGCTCAGTCAGTTAAGCGGCTGCCTTCAGCTCAGGTCATGATCCCAGGGTCCTGGGATCGAGTCCCACATCGGGCTCCTTGCTCGGCAGGGAGCCTGCTTCTCCCTCTGCCTGTCTCTCCCCCTGCTTGTGTTCTGTCTCTCTGACAAATAAATAAAATATGGGAAAAAAAAAAAACTACACCATTTAAAGTCTCTGGAAAGTGTCCTAAGGGTATTCAATAAATGAAGAAACATTTATTCAAGAAAATCTACTAAAACCCAGTAAGAACAGTGAGAGTCGGGGCGCCTGGGTGGCTCAGTTGGTTAAGCGACTGCCTTCGGCTCAGGTCATGATCCTGGAGTCCCGGGATCGAGTCCCGCATCGGGCTCCCTGCTCGGCAGGGAGTCTGCTTCTCCCTCTGACCGTCCTCCCTCTCATGCTCTCTGTCTCTCATTCTCTCTGTCTCAAATAAATAAATAAAAAAAAAAAAAAAAAAAAAGAACAGTGAGAGTCTGGGATTTGAACCACATCCTGCTCCTTCCCTCCTCTCCTCTCCCCAGCTCAGTTTGACAAAATCGCTACTCTGGGCAGATGTAGCCAAGAAGACCAGGATCCCTCTTCCCTCTGCCCCCAACCAAGGGTGTAAAATAAAAAATCATATGCATATTGATCTTTGCCCCCAGCTCCTGACACTGAGCTCCTAAATCCCTTAGGTATAGGGCAACCTCCTGGGTGATAGGAGTGTCTTAATTCTAATGAGGCAACTCTTGGTAGGCTCCTGGGTAGCTTAAGGATGGGAGCTAGTCACCAGAAAGACCAAGCCATGATTAGAAATTTGAAATTTTCAACCCCATCCCCCATCCTCCGGAGGGACTGAAGACTGAGTTAATGATAGATCATGCCTCCATGTATGTAATGAAGCCTCCATAAAATTCCCCAAAAATGGGATTCAGAGAGCTGCTGGGTTGGTGAACACACCTATATGTTAGGAGGGTGACACACTCCAACTCCACAAGGGCAGAAGCTCCTGCTCTCCGGACTTTTCTAGACCTCATCCTATGTATCCCTTCATCTGACTATTCATTCATATCTTTTATTATACCCTCTATAATAAACTGGCAAACATAAATAAGTATTCCCCTGAGTTCTGTGAGCCACTCTAGCAAATTATCAGCCCCTAGGAGGGGGTCATAGGAACCCCAATTTATAGCCAGACAATAATAAGTAGAGATGACAATCTGGAACTTTCAGTTGGCTCTGAAATGGAGCAGTTTTGTGGGAGTGAACCCTTAGACTGTAGCATCTGACACTCACTCCGGGTTGTGTCAGAACTGAGTTGAATTGTAGGACACCCAGCTGGTGTTGCAGAATTGCATGATGGGTGCAGAACACACACATCTGGTGTCAGAAGTGTTGTGAGTGTTATAGCAGTATGAGAATAAAAGAGAAACATAGGAGTGTTTTTCTTTTTCTTAAGATTTTATTTTTGAGTAATCTCCACTGGGGTTCGAACTCACAACTCTGAGATCAAGAGTCACAAGCTCTACTGAATGAGCCAGCCAGGTGCCCCAGGAGTGTTTTTCTTACACAAAGGGTTACTGTTTTTCACCAGGAGAAGCAGGCCACCAGCACTGCTCATCTCCAACTCTAAGTTGAGGGGGCTAAACTACTGGTGAGTGAGGCCAAGAGGTCAGGGGCTCCTGTTCTCAACCTAGAGGATAGAGGCTCCACTCCAGGTGCAGCAGGCCAAGAATATCGAAGTCCTGATCGCTTCTGCCCCAGCTTATTGGTAGGACAGAGGTTCCACACCAGGGAAAGCAAGCTGAGAAGACCAGAGTCTACCACATCCACCCAGCTCCCTAAATAGTGGATCACAGATATCGCCTAGGGGAGAGGCAGTCCTTTAGAAAAGAGAGCTCTGAAGCTCTCCCCAAAGGAATTGACTTTATTTAAGATGGAATGTAGAAAAGTTCAAATCTAAGGACACTCTTCAAAACAATCATTCCTCTTAATTAAGAGCAACAAACTAAACCATAGGCCAGCTAATTCACTAGAGACAACCAGGGAAAAAGACAGCTAATAGCCCACCTACTCAAAAACTGAAACTACCCTTGCCTGAATTTAATTGGATCAGACCAATGAACAATTTATGCCCCAGGGCACTGTAGAAAATAATACAGCAATTAGCCAGTAATTAGTGGAGCCTAACATATTGATGTAATACCAAATGAGGCAGACAGCTTAACAGAGAGATCAAGGAAAGAGATAGTCAAAAGAGCCCTGCTATCAGGCTCCCTGCTCAGCAGGGAGTCTGCTTCTCCCTCTGACCCTCCCCCCTCTCATGTGCTCTCTCTCTCCTCTCATCCTCTCTCTCAAATAAATAAATAAAAAATCTTAAAAAAAAAAAAAAAAGAGCCCTGCTAAAAACATGATCACCCCAAGGTGAATGTGCACTTGCCTAAGACTTAACCCTCTGAGGAGTGTCATCAGAGGCTCTGTATTGTAGGGGAAATAGATGTCACTAAAACATTTTAGACAAGTGAAGTCGCAAAACAAGCAAGCAAACAGTAACAAACGCAAGCCAGAACAGGTGGTGGGGAATCACCCATCTGTTTCAAATTGCTTTTCTCCTAAGATCAGGAGTAAGACAAGAATGTATGCTCTTGCCACTTCTCCTCAAAATTGTACTGGAGGTGATAGCCAGGGCAATTAAGCAAGAAAAAGAATCAAAAGGCATCCACATCAAGAACTAATGATGGCTAATATGTTGGCTAATTGAACATAATAAGAGAATGAATAAATAAATAAATAAATAAATGGCATCCAGATTGTAAAGGAAGAAGTAGAAACTGTCTCTATTCATAGATCTTGTTTACAGGAAATCCTAAAGAATCCACTAAAAAAAAAAACAAAACACAACAACACACACGCAACTACTAGAACTAATAAGTGAGTTCAGCAAGGCTACAGGATAAAAAATGAATATACAAAAGTTTATCATATTTCTACATACTTGCAGTGAACAATCCAAAAATTAACTTAAGAAAATGCATAATAGCAGCAAAAGCATCAAAAAGGACAAATAACCCAGTTTATAAATGAGCAAAGAATCTGAATAGACATTTTTCCAAGGAAGATATACAAACGAAAAACACATGAAAAGATGCTTGACATGTTAGTCATCAGAGAAATGCACATCAATACCACAATGATAACACTTCACACCCACTGGGATGTCTAGAATCAAAAAAGTCAGCTCACAATAAGTGTTGATGGAGATGTGAAGAAATTGGAACATTATACCCTGTCAGAATGTACAATACTGCAGACACTTTGTAAAACAGTCTGAGTTCCTCAAACGACAGAGTTACCGTATGACCCAGACATTATACTTACAGGTACATGCCCAAAAGAATTGAAAACATATTTCTACACTAAAACTTGTACACAAATGTTTATAGCACCATTATTCCTAATTTTTGAAAGGTGGAAAAACCCAAATGTCTATCAATGGATGAATGGAAAACAAAATAAGATATACCCACACAATGGAATATTATTTGGCCATAAAAAAGGAATGAAGTGTTGATATATGCTACAACACAGATGTATCTTGAAAATATGGTTACATGGGGCGCCTGGGTGGCTCAGTCGTTAAGCGTCTGCCTTCGGCTCAGGTCATGATCCTGGGGTCCTGGGATCGAGTCCCGCATCGGGCTCCCTGCTCAGCAGGAAGCCTGCCTCTCCCTCTCCCACTCCCCCTGCTTGTGTTCCTGCTCTAGCTATCTCTCTCTCTGTCAAATAAATAAATAAAATCTTAAAAAAAAAAAAAAAAAAAAAAAAGAAAATATGGTTACATGTAAGAAGTCTCTCACAAAAGGCCACAAAGTATATGATTCTATTCATATGAAAGTCCAGAAGAGAGGGCGCCTGGGTGGCTCAGTTGGTTAAGCGACTGCCTTCGGCTCAGGTCATGATCCTGGAGTCCTGGGATCGAGTCCCACATCAGGCTCCCTGCTCAGCAGGGAGTCTGCTTCTCCCTCTGACCCTCCCCCCTCTCCTGCTCTCTCTCTCTCTTTCTCTCTCTCAAATAAATAAATAAAATCTTTAAAAAAAAAAAAAAAAAGAAAGTCCAGAAGAGGGAAATAGAAAGACACAGAAAAGACACAGTGGTTGTTTAGAGCTGAGAGGACAAGGGATCAGGAAGGTTACAGCTAAAAGCTATGGACTGGGTTGTGTTTTTTTAATGTTATCTCTTTTTTTTTTTTTAATTGATGTATAGCAGACATAGTATGGGGTTTCTTTTTGAGGTAAAGAAAGTCTAAAATGCAATTGTGGTGATGGTTACACATATCTGTGGATATACTAAAAACCTTCAGTTGTACACTTTAAATGGGTGAATTGTATGGTATGTGAATTATATTCAATAAAGCTGTTTTTAAAAATGAAAAAGAGGGGTGGGCGCCTGGGTGGCTCAGTTGGTTGAGCGACTGCCTTCGGCTCGGGTCGTGATCCCAGGGTCCTGGGATCAAGTCCCGCATCGGGCTCCCTGCTCTGCGGGGAGCCTGCTTCTCCCTCTCCCACTCCCCCTGCTTGTGTTCCCTCTCTCGCTGTGTCTCTCTCTGTCAAATAAATAAATAAAATCTTTAAAAAAATGAAAAAGAAAAAACACATATATACACACACATGAAACTAAAATGCATGACAGCAATAATGCAGAAGGTATGAGGAGTTAACAGAGTTTAAATATTCTAAGGTTCTAGCAGTATTAGAATATTGAAGAGGGTGATCATTTGTATTAGACTGTGTCTTGATTTCCAGTCCCCCAGAAGCTGACCCTGAAACAAGGATTCATATAAGCCATTTGGGACTTGATCCCAAAAAGACAGTAGAGAAGCTAGGCAGGAGCAGGATGGACCAGAAGAAGGTGCACTGTAAAGTAAGTGACCACTGCAAACAACTGGAACTCAGTCCTGTTGGAGAACTCTGGGAGACTGTGGAAAGCACCCACTTCAAGTTATCCCACAGGAGGGGGTGTCCTTCCACCACGTCATCCCAGTCATTGGGTTGAGGGCTGCACCTGGGGAGCAGTAAATCTCAGACCCTTCTGACCTGTTTTCTGCATGGGCAGAGCTGACTCCAAAGCTGGACAAAGACCAGGAAATCAATATGCAACTCACTGCAATAGACAGATGCAGGAGAAAAAAGCATTTTTACAAAATTACAACATCCATTTATGATACATAAAACACCTTGCAGGGCGCCTGGGTGGCTCAGTTGGTTAAGCGACTGCCTTCAGCTCAGGTCATGATCCTGGAGTGCCTGGATCGAGTCCCGCATCGGGCTCCCTGCTCGGCAGGGAGTCTGCTTCTCCCTCTCCCACTCCCTGTTTGTGTTCCCTCTCTTGCTGTGTCTTTCTCTGTCAAATAAATAAATAAAATCTTTAAAAACAAAAACAAAAACAAAACAATAAAACACCTTGCATAACAGAAATAGAAAGGGGGGGGCGCCTGGGTGGCTCAGATGGTTAAGCATCTGCCTTTGGCTCGGGTCATGATCCCAGAGTCCTGGGATTGAGCCCCACGTCCGGCTCCTGGCTCAGTGGGGAGCCTGCTTCTCCCTCTGCCTCTCCCCCTGCTCGTGCTCTCTCTCTCTCTCTCTCTCTCTGTGTGTCTTGAATGAATAAATAAAATCTTAAAAAAAAAAAAAAGAAATAGAAAGGAGCATCCTAAATTGGGTAAAGAGAAAAATATGTATAGATATACCTTTCAACAAATGGTACTGGGCCAACTGGATTTCCACATTGGAAAAAAATATATATACCTTGACTCCTACCTGACACCATATAATCATTTCCAGATGGAGTGTTGATCTAAATGTGAAGGTAAAAAAAATAAAAGCTTTAAAAGAAAAACAAAGGAAAACACCTTCATGACCTTAAAATAGGCATTTTTAATTTCCAACTTAACAATTTCTCTTCAGCAGAAAATATCATTAAGAGAGTGGGAAGGCAACATACCTACTTCCAGAATGTATCTAAAGAATTGCTACAAATGAAAGGGAAAGACAGATCATCTATCAGAAGAGACAGAACACCCATAGTGCCCAAGAGGTGATGCAAATGACCAAGAAGCATATGAGGAGCAGCTCCATTTCATTAGTCATCAGGCAAATGCAGATGAAAAGTACACCTACTGGGGCACCTGGGTGGCTCAGTCGGTTAAGCGGGTTAAACGTCTGCGTTCAGCTCAGGTCATGATCTGGAGTCCTGGGATCAAGCCCCCTGTCAGACTACCCGCTCAGCGAGGAATCTGCTTCTCCCTCTCCCTCTGCCCCTCCCCCTGCTTGTGCTTTCTTTCTCTCTCTCAAGTAAATAAAGTCTTTTAAAAAAATAAAAATAAAAAATAAAAGCACACCTACCAAGGGGTGCCTGGGTGGCTCAGTCAGTTAAGTGACTGTCTCATGATTTCAACTCAGGTCATGATCTCACAGGTTGTCGCTCAGCAGAGAGTCTGCTTGAGATTCTCTCCCTCTGCCCTCCCCCCACTAGCATGCTCTCTCTCAATTTCTCTCTAAAATAAATAAATAAATCTTAAAAAAAAAAAAAAAAGCACACCTACCAAAATGATTAACACAAAAACACTGCAAAATGCCAAGCCAATGGGGGTGCAAGGGAGCAGACCGAGCTCTCCAGGGGGAGGGTGAAATGAAGAGAGTGAGTGTATTACAGTTTTGTAGGCTGGGAAGTCCAAGTTCGAGGCCCTGGAAGATTTGGTGTCTAGTGAGAGCTCACTTCCTAGTTCACAGACAGCTCTTTTCACTGTGTCCTCACACAATGGAAAGGGCGAGGGAGCTCTCCAGAGTCTCTTTTTTTTTCTGCCTGATGCAGCCGCCCCATCTAACCACTTGGAACCTGTTTGGCAGAATCTGTGCAAATCCTGGGGTCCCCATGACTGGCGTTTGTCAGGAATAGACCCAAGAAAAAGGTGGATAGAGGTTCACCTAACAGCACTATTTTTAATAGCCCAAACCCAAATTTGCTGCCTACATGTTCATTATCAGCAAAACTGATAAACTGAAGAATATACACCATGGCGATGCCATAAAGTAATGAGAATAAAAAGGCCTTGAGTGCATGGGAAAAGCTCATAAATGCCTAAAATAGCACAGCCTGTTTGATTCCATTTATACGAAGTTGAAAGGCCAGAAAAACAATCTATGGGTTAGAAGTTTGAGGAGTTGTTACTTGGACCGAGTGGGAGAGGACTTCCGGGGCCTGGTAATGTTGGTTCTCGAGCTGCTGGGCTGGATGCCCAGGCGAGCTCACTTTGTAAAGATTCATCAAGCTCCACCCTTAGTTGCACACTTCTATGTGTATATTACATTTCAATAACAAGTGTTAAAAAAAAATTTATTTTTAAGTAATCTCTGCACCCAACGTGGGGCTCGACCTCACAACCCCAAGATCAAGAGTCACATGCTCTTCTGACTGAGCCTGCCAGGCGCCTCAATAACAAGTTTTTTTAAGTCATTATTTTTAAAAGTCACAAGGTCATGAACAGAAGGACTCTTAGTCTAGGGTCTGCCAAAATGGACACTTAGTCTGTTCAGGCTACTATAACAAAAATATCACAGACTGGGTAGCTTATAAACAACAGAAATGTATTACTCACAGTTTTGTAGGCTGGGAAGTCCAAGTTCGAGGCACTGGAAGATTTGGTGTCTAGTGAGAGCGCACTTCCTAGTTCACAGCTCTTTTCACTGTGTCCTCACACAATGGAAAGGGCGAGGGAACTCTCCAGAGTCTGTCTCTCTCTTTTTTTTTTTTCTGCCTGATGCAGCCGCCCCATCCACCATGGCTTCTGCCTCGTGCCACCACCAGGACCACTGGGCATGCATGAAAGGTCACTCAAACAGTTTCACGACCATTCGCTGCAGTGCATCCTGGCCGCCTCCACAGCACTATGGAGTCTCTTCTAAAAAGGTACTAATCCCAATCATGAGGGCCCTACCCTCATGACCTAATCACCTCCAAAAGGCTCCACCTCTCCAAATACAATCACATTGGGAATTAGATTTCAGGGCGCCTGGGTGGCTCAGTTGGGTAAGCGACTGCCTTCGGCTCAGGTCATGATCCTGGAGTCCCGGGATCAAGTCCCACATCGGGCTCCCTGCTCAGCAGGGGGTCTGCTTCTCCCTCTGCCCTCTTCCCTCTCGTGCTCTCTGTCTCTCATTCTCTCTCTCAAATAAATAAATAAAACCTTTAAAAAAAAAAAAGGGAATTAGATTTCAGCAGATGAATTTTGTGGGGACAGACACATCTATCTACTAACCCCTGGGTGTTGAATAATGATCAGAATCCTAACTCTTAGGCCCATTTTACTGATGAGAAAACCCAGGCTTGGACTCTCCGGCCACAAACTCTGGATCAGAGTAGCCATCACGTCCCACCAGAGGCTGGCTGTTCAGAATGACGGAAAGCAGCAGTCTGCTTAGAAAAGGTCCCCAGGAAGAGCACTGGCAGGGTGCACACATGTCAGCGATAGGAAGCACGTAGTATATAAAACATTTTATAAAACACGGGGAATCTGATGTGCCAACCACGCAAGAAAGGTATTATACAACTATTCCTACAGAGGACTGTAGACTGGTTTAGTGAAAATTGTATATAAATATGTAGAATGGTTAGACAAATAGAGTGGCTACAAGACAAGCAAATGCAGGGAAGTTTGAGAGACACCTGGATAGAGCAAAGATACAGAAATATTGAAAAAATGAAGAAAAAAATCGGAAAAAAAAATGAAGAATAGTGCTAAAATTGATTCCAGGTGGAGAAATGGTAAAACATGCAAAAATGCACACATTTATCTTTGTAGAAAGGTAAAAATAGGCATTTCCATCTATATAGTGGTTAGATAAATATACTGTTTAAAAGGACCCTATGGGGGGCGCCTGGGTGGCTCAGTTGGTTAAGCGACTGCCTTCGGCTCAGGTCATGATCCTGGAGTCCCTGGATCGAGTCCCGCATCGGGCTCCCTGCTCGGCAGGGAGTCTGCTTCTCCCTCTGACCCTCTCATGCTCTATCTCATTCTCTGTCTCAAATAAATAAATAAAATCTTAAAAAAAAAATAAAAATAAAAAATAAAAAAAAAATAAAAGGACCCTATGGGCACCTGGGTGACTCAGTCAGTTAAGCATCTGCCTTTGATTCAGGTCATGATCCCAGGGTCCTGGGATTGAGCCCCACATCAGGCTCCCCGCTCAGCGGGAAGCCTGCTTTTCCCTCTGCCCCTCCCCCGCTCGTTCTCCCTTCTCTCTCTCTCAAATGAATAAATCTTAAAAATAAATACGAGGACATTTCTTGATACATACAATGTATTCAGTGCTTCAAAAAAATACATATTCAGATACTTAATGATTAGTTATTTGTCAAGGCACGTGGACACTATGAAGACAAGTTTTTCCCACCAAAACTCCAGCCACGTCAAGCCAAGGATGGTCCTGCCATAGGGTGCCAGTGGGAACACTGACCCCAGGGGGTTGCACCAGCTAGTGGTGAACACGGATCATGGATAGGAGCACGTGACTGTCATGGTTCTCAAAAGGCACTGAGCACTAAGTTTGTACAGGGCTCATTTCACATTACCTCCCCTAGGTAGGGTATTCTATTACCTGCAGGTTAGAGGAAAGGAAATTGGGGACCAACAGGAACATCTGGCACAGTACTCTGTAAACCTTTGAAATGTCATGAGAATTGTTGGGCTAGTCCTGATTTTTAAAGAAAACTTCAGATTTGGACAAACACACCCCAAATCTACTCCCCCCTAACCTGGGAGTGTCTCAGCAGCGAGAACACAGGAGGGGAAGGATTAACGCAGCAACGGTCCTCTACTGCCACCTTGTGGCTACTGAAGGGGGACTCGGCCCTGTCTCCCACAAATGAAAACTGCCCTGGGATCCCACACCCTTATTTGCCTGCCTCAGAGGTCAAGCCCCAGAAAGGGCCCCAGGTGGGTAAAATGATGAGCTAACCACTGGCTTCATGCCTGGTTAGGGCTGCAGCCCGAGGGGCGAGTTGCTGGGCCTGGCCTGAAGGGTACTATAAACAGAGACACCTGGAGTCACAGAAATGTCAGACAAGCAAACGCAGGGAAGTTTGAGAGACACCTGGATAGAGCAAAGATACAGAAATAAGGATGCAAACAACTCAGAGACCCAGAAGGATGAAAGAAAGAGAGAGGGAGGAAGGGAAAGAGGGTCCCAATCAGACTCAGAAAATGACACTGAGGAATTCAGAGCCACAGACACAGAATGGCCAGGCAAGAGGATCCTGCAACGGGGAAAACCCTCACCCCTTTCAGGCAGTCCTCCAGCACATCTGAACACCCACTTTCCAAAGGTCCTGGGCAATCTCATTCTTAGTCCTTTCTGGGATTCTCTGGCACAAATTAGCTTATTTAGGGATGCTGAGTGGCTCAGTTGGTTAAGCATCTGCCTTCAGCTCAGGTCATGATCCCAGAGTCCTGGGATCGAGTCCCGAATTGGGCTCCTTGCTTTGCAGGAAACTGTTTCTCTCCCTCCTTCTCCTGCTCCCACTATTTGTGCTCTCTCTCTCTCTCTCTGACAAATAAATAAATAAAAATTTAAAAAGAAAACTGAAAAACAACAACCAAGTTAGCTTACTTCAGGGCATTCCCCAGGACAGACGAGAGTGCTGCCCTGTTGCAGTCAGTCCAGCTGCCCAGCTTCCCAAACCTTCACCCCTGCTCTTCTCCTGGCTCTTTGCCTGCTCCCTTTCATATACGTGATGTATATTTTCATATACATAAACACGCCTGCAGCACCTGCCTAGGAGAAAACAAAATGACCGTGGGCTTTCTCCCCACTGGCTGTCCCACTGAGGCTGATAAACAGCTAATTTGGAAGGCCCCTTCGTCTTTCCTGGGTTTCAGTGAAGACCCCTGCTGGCTGACAAACGACAGGGCCTGTTCTGACCCACCTCCTCATCTGACCCAGGCAGTCTGCTCAGTTCACAGGACTGGCTCCAGGCGGGCCCTCAGCTCTGGGCTCAGGGAGAATTCAGGGTGCGTTAGGTCGGAGAAGGTAGGAAATGGGAACTCATCTGTTCAGTCCACTATTCTCCTGCATTCTCCTCTCACGCTCCCCACCATGTGTCACCCCTGGCCCCACTCAGTTTTCTTTTTTTTTTTAAGATTTTATTTATTTATTTGACAAAGACAGTGAGAGAGGGAACACAAGCAGGGGGAGTGAGAGAGGGAGAAGCAGGCTTCCCGCCGAGTAGGGAGCCCGATGTGAGGCTCAATCCCAGGACCCTGGGATCATGACCTGAGCCGAAGGCAGGCGCTTAACGACTGAGCCACCCAAGTGCCCCCCCACTCAGTTTTCTTCAGCAAACACCACCACTGTCGCTGGCCCTGAGGCCTAGATTATGGGACCTGACCTGGATTCTAATTCTGGTCTCACCCCTTACCATCTGGCTCTCTGTGCCTCCACCTCCCCGACTATAACACAGAATACAGGCAGGGACTATAAAATAGAATACTGATAGGGTCAACGTCATCGTGCTGTGGGGAGGAGTCCATGAGTTAATGTTGCAAAGTGTGGTACTGAACAGTGTTTAGACAAGGAGCTTCGGAGTCAGACTGGCTTTGGGAAATTCACTTCATCCCTCCAAACTTCAGTGTCTTGTCAGTAAAAAGGGAACAGGGACTCCGTTGTGAGTGTCAAATTTAAATGTTGTGAGAGACCCTAAAGGACTTGAGATGGGAGACTTGGCTACTGGGGCTTCCAAATGTTCTGTCCCCTCAGCTGTGCCTCCTCATCCCTCCACACCACTTAGCCCCTACCTCTTCCTCTTCGTCCCTCTCCATAAGGTCTGGCCTGCCCAGCCTACGGCTGCTAATCCTCAGAACATTCCCTCCATGCCTCCTCAATTCCAGGCTGTCCGTACAACAGCTGCTGGTCCTCGGAATAATCCCCCATTCCCATTTCAGAAACCAGCTGTACCATTCCCAGGAAAACCTGGAAGGCCTTCTTCAAATTAGCAGTCCCTTTGCTCCCCCACAGCCTTCTGCCAGGTGCTAACGATGCTTCACCCGGGCTCTGCTTGATTTTCTTGCGCAACATAAAGCACAACAGTGAAACAGGTGGTACCCGGCCCAGTTTAACAGATTTATTATTACTGGGACAGGCGAAGCCTCCCTGTACACACGTGGCCTCACTCCGTCGCTCGCTTTTCAGAGGCAACCCCAGTCCGAATTGTGCACTTACTTTTTAAATTATTATCTGGTCCAGTACTTTTACTCATAGTTTTACTACTATACAGTCTTGAACTATATATAAACAACATTCCTCTACAGCTTTTTTTCATGTGATACACTGGTATTTACCCTAATCCATGACAAAATCACTCTCTTCCCTGCCGAGTAAAGTTCTAACCCACGAAGTACCATAATTTTCTTTCTCCAGGCAATGGATATTAACACTGTTTCTGGGTTTTCTTCCACCAAAACCAGTCCTGATGGGAACATTTCTGAGCTACTAAAGCTACTGAAGCTTAAGCTTGGGGCCCCACCCCCCTACCTCACCCAAGCTGGGCTCTGCCTATAGCCAGAGGACCCTCCACCACCAGCCCCACTGGCTCAGATCCCCGCCCACATCCAGACCCCCTCCCCCACACCTCCCACAGCTAGCTAACCTCAAAGTTCTGTCCCCCCAATCCTAGCCACTGCACTCGCTCTGGGATCCACCTTCATGTCTGCCAGCCCACATCCAGGCCCCCGCCCCAAGGCCAGGGCACGCTGGCACACAACTCCCCACCCCAGGCCTGACCTCCTCCCACACCCAACTCCACCCACACTTGGGCCTCCTTCCACACCTGAATCCCCTCTCCAATGCCCTTCAGTGTCCCTACCCCCCTTCCAGGCCCCTTCCCCACATACCCCCCAGTGGCCTTCACCCAGGTCCCAAGCCCCCACCCCAAGTCTGATCCCCCGAGCTCTGGCCACGACCCTGCTTCCAGGCCTCTCCTACTCTGTGCCCCCACACTCCCGTCTCCTCCCCTTGACTGGACTCTCCCCACACACACACACCCTACTCCCTCACCCCACCCCCTCATCCCTCCACTCTCCCCCCACACACACCAGCCAGACCTCCTACACACACTATCCAGGCTCCACACAGACCTCATCCTCCCTCTCCAAGGCCCTCTTCGCCTGCCCCTGCCTGCCCCCCCACACACACACACACACTCCCAGGGCCCCTTCAAGGCCTCTGGAGGTTGGTGGCAGCAGTGTATGGTGAAGAGTGGTCAATGCACAGGAAAATGTGAAATGTCCTGCACGCTGACTGCTCGTGAATAAAAAACACTCCATAGAGGTTTTCCCAAATTTGACAGCACCCAAAACTTTTACAAGACATTAACAATGATAAATTGTAAAGCCAAAAGTAAGTTTTCTAAATTATCAGTAAAAACGTTTTTAGAAGAGTGGGTTAATCACGCTAGGGGCGCCTGCGTGGCTCACTCGGTTAAGGATCTGCCTTCCCTTCAGGTCATGATCTCAGGGTCCTAGGATCTGGACCCCTGTCCGGCTCCTTGCTAAACAGGCAGTCTGCTTCTCCCTCTCCCTCTCCTTCTGCCCCTCCCCCCGCTCGTGCATGGTCCCTCTTTCTCGCTCTCAAATAATAAAAAAATAAAAATCTTTTAAAAAAAGTGGGTTAATCACTCTAGAAGGTAGACTTCCATTCTTTCTCATAGAAATTATTCTAATTTTACAGATTCTAATTTAAAATATTCAAAATCAGGGGGGCGCCTGGGTGGCTTAGTTGGTTAAGCATCTGCCTTTAGCTCAGGTCATGATCCCGGGGACCTGGGATCAAGCCCTGAGTCCGGCTCCCTGCTCAGCGGGGAGTCTGCTTCTCCCTCTGCCTGCAGCTCCCCCTGCTTGTGCTCTCTCTGTCTCTGTCAAATATATAAATAAAATCTTTTTTTAAAAAAATTCAAAATCACTATCATATGAAGTAGTGGCTATGATTATGCAATGTTACCAGTAAAATTAATATCTTGATAGGCAATTAATTTTAAAATGCGTTATATTAAAAATTTTGTCGTCAGCTTTTTAAAATTTGCAATTGCTTTGCTTTGTCATTCTAAACAAATATAAACCTTCAGGGACACCTGGCTGGCTCAGTCAGTAGAG